CGTACGACATAAAAAAAAGCCCAAAGATTTAACAGGAGCCATATGGATAGGTGACTCGATCATTTTCGCCTCTATTTTATTGGGAAGTCATTCATTTTGTCAGACGCCTCTCAAGTTCCTATCGTTTTTTGTATCGATTTTGGATTCCGACTTCGTCATTGGGTGTTGACTATCTTTAGTCTATTTCCTTTCCTTTTTAAATTTCACCTTATCAGATATATAGGTTTTCTTTATATTTATTTCAAATATGTTCCGAACAGATAAATTCGGTTATATATTAATGTTGCAAGTATCAGGATATGATGATGTCATTACAACTGACAACGTCGTTCAAACTAACTTGTATTTTTGGTAGCGGACGACAACTCTGTTTTCATGAGCGAGCAACAAATATATCACTTGACCTGAATCTTACATTTACGAATGAAAAATGATTAAAGGAAGCCGAAGTCAATATAAAATAGATAACCAACAGAATCCAGGAGAGGAAAACACTAAAGAAATTTTGTTATTGGAACAAACATACAAAATGGAGGCTGAAACATCTGTCCCAGAAGGATAAATACTGTTTTCATTCCATATGGCACCTGCTATGATGTTACTTGTCAAACCAAGAGACAGAATTCTTTAGAAGACAGACAATTACAACACAACAATATCAATACAATATTATGGCATATGAAAACAAACTTCGACTTTGATATTGACTGACAATATTAATGTATGTAAACGTACAATCAATTATATTACACGTTATCTTGTAAAAAAGTTAGAAAAAGTGAAATATTTACAAAGAGATAATAATATAAATACACATACAGTTATAATACCATTTAGGGTCTGGCCAAGAATTCTTAAACAGTATATGACAATATTACCAAAGCAGATAAACTATGTAATATTAACAATTGTAAGATACTATTACAGTTTTTGCTCTAGTTATGTCCTGTTCGGATGGTATATTTGACAGAGTTTCTTGCAATCGATATCATGCGTTACTATGGTATATCAGTCACAGTTTCTTGCCATAGATACCACACATTCCTATGATATATCTGTCACTGTTTCTTGCCATCGATATCACGCATTCTTATGGTATATCTGTCACAGTTATCACGCATTCTTATGGTATATTTGTCACAGTTATCACGCATTCTTATGGTATATCTGTCACCGCCAAAGATATCATGCGTTACAATGGTATATCAGTCACAGTTTCTTGCCATCGATAACACGCATTCCTATGGTATATCTGTCACAGTTATCACGCGTTCTTATGGTATATCTGTCACAGTTATCACGCGTTCTTATGGTATATATGTCACCGCCAAAGATGTCACGAGTTCTTATGGTACATCTGTCACAGTTATCACGCGTTCTTATGGTATATATGTCACCGCAAAAGATATCATGCGTTACTATGGTACATCTGTCACAGTTATCACGCATTATAATGGTATATCTGTCACCGCCAAAGATATCATGCGTTACTATGGTATATCTGTCACAGTTATCAAGCGTTCTTATGGTATATCTGTCACAGTTATCACGCATTATTATGGTATATCTGTCACCGCCAAATATATCATGCGTTACTATGGTATATCAGTCACAGTTTCTTGCCATCGATACCACGCATTCCTATGGTATATCTGTCACAGTTATCACGCGTTCTTATGGTATATCTGTCACCGTCAAAGATGTCATGCGTTACTATGGCACATCTGTCACCGCCAAAGATGTCATGCGTTACTATAGCATATCTGTCACCGCCAATGAGATGTCATGCGTTACTATGGCATATCTGTCACCGCCAAAGAGATGTCATGCGTTACTATGGCACATCTGTCACCTCCAAAGAGATGTCATGCGTTACTATGGTATATCTGTCACCTCCAAAGATGTCATGCGTTCAGATGGGATATTTGTCACTGTTGAACCAACGGCATAACACATTTATTATAGTTCCCTTACTCGTTTAGATGGCACGATGTTCAAATTGATATGAAAAAAAAGTGAGTGTCACATTCTAATGAAAAATCAATAAAGACGGTACATATAATTTGGGTACACATATGTTGGGTGAAAATGTGACAATTAACATTGATATAGGTATACAAGGTTCGTAAATGAATTTGATTATTACATTAAAAAAATCACAGAATCACAGGAAATATTAAGAAAAATATTATTTGGCAAAAATCTAAAAAAATTATGATAATTCTTCCTTTGATAGCACATTTCCCTAGCAATGATAGCTATCGTTGGTAAGATTTTGTTTCAAATCGATTTCATAAAAAAATCGATTTAAAACTGTTTTCAGTTTTGTCATATGATGGCATATCGTGGTGCTACCAAAGCATTCTGTAATGTGATTATTTGAATATGAAATACAAAAACAAAAACAAAAGAAGAACAAGAAGAAGAAAACCTCCTTTTCATGACAAATTAAAGATTAATTAATCTCTGAATTGAAAAATGTGTTTTGACGAATGTTGGCATCGGTTCACGAACAGTTTCATGTTTAGACACGATAATGTAATTTGATCCAATCAAATTGTTAGTCAAAATGGCATAGGCTGAAAATCTCGCCTACACACTGATGTGTATAAGTATTCACTAAGACACTTAGCTGAAGTGCAAAAAGCATCCGTTTGACAGTTATGTTGTCTGTTAAATACATACAGTATTATATTATATGTATTTCTTTAAAATTTCTTTGATGCTTGCATAATCACAATCTGTAAACGATTTCTAAATATAATTTGATGAAAGCTTTCATTTGTTGTTTGCTGCAGAAAAACCCCCATCTGTTTGAATATGGTCATGTTGCAATACAAACATATATTTCAAATGATACATTTAAGCATAAACACTTATACCAAATATCAGGTTGATTATTGTTAACTTACATGTACCAATAACACTTTTGAAATTCAATATTTACATGAATATCAATTACAGCATGTAATAAAACACAACATTTTCTCTACGACATTTACTTTGATTATTTACAAATGTTTAGTCAATAACTTTTTACTATGTAATCCTTTCAGTGCATGGTCTGACAACATCTGTAATGATCCATGTTAAAATATGATTGACGTTGGGTTTGAATGTGGTTTATACCACTTAACATGGAAGAGAGTTTTGCTAGATTACTACACATCACAAACATACATCGAGTTAAATTCTTCGGCGATTTTGACGTAAAAATGTACCGTTTTTTATGTCTTTTTGGAAGCAGTCAAAACTGTTGTCTTGAAATGTCATGAAAACTGCTGCCCTACAATGCTATGCCGAGGGCAAAAATTCTCCAGATCCCGGCAAGCAAAGAAAGGCAATGATTTTGACATATTAGGCATGCATTTCATTGATTAAAAAGGGATTAATATAACAATAATACATAAAAAGCATTTAAATAGTACTGATCTAAGTCTCAAAAGGCTCTTATCACGCACCGACAGCAAAAACCGGAGCATACTTATATGCATGAAACTGTTTGCGAAGTAATAGTTCACGGTTTCCGCATTTATATGGAATACATCCATTTAAATTTAACATAAGGTAACTATGATCTCACTGATAAAATAAAACGGAACAAAATAAAATGAACGTACAACATTTGTAATATATATGTGTATATACATATATTCGTTATAATGTTTAATAAAATTCAATACCAAATAGAACATATTTGTAATATTTTCGAATCACAAAAATTTAACTACATTGTACAATGCAAATTGGTATATATTTCAATATAAACACGACATGATTAAACATTGCTCAAGACCACAGCCATGCAAAATATAATTTTTACAATATCATAAAGTCGAATAAAAAATGAACAACATTGTAACACGTTGGCCAACTACAATTATTTATATGGTACTTTGGTAAAACCAGTCTTCATTTAGTATCAGTTTTAAGAGTATATATACATGCATATTTACATACGTGACAAGTTTTAATTGCTAAGGAGGATGAAATAATGGGTTAGAATACATAGAGAATGATACATGCCTTTTTCCATATCACACCCAGTATCAACCCGAGACTCCAATATCAGCCCAAGGGCCGAAGGCCCGCGGGCTGATATTGGTCGAGGGTTGATACTGGGTGTGATATGGAAAAAGGCGTGTTTTATTCTGTTTATTACATACTTACTAATAAAAACTATTATCTTATGATTTATTTTCATTTTTGAAATATTGAAAAAAGATTTTTTTTCCAAATGGAGTGTGATATGGGTTTTGCGGGCTGATATGGGTTTTGGGGTGTGATACGGCGGGGGCTGATACGGGTTTTGGGGTGTGATACGGCGAGGGCTGATATGGGTTAGAGCAATTGTGTCGTATCACATATACAAAAAACCCGTATTTATTAGTAAGTATGTAATAAAAGTAAATAATCATCCAAACCAGAGGTTGTGCGTGATACCGAGAACAAATCTTCACACTAGGTTAAAAATACCCTAACATCACAATACATATTACTAAACACATTGAGAAGTAGTGTATTCAGAAGCAAACTCTATATTAAAATTATTATGTTTAAAAGATAAATAGACATAACCATATCATTTTTAAAAGACTAACATCTGAAAATTACGTTTCCTGTTTAAATGAGATCAACTTAAAGACAAAAGCAGTCTTTAAAGGACGGAACTAACGAGTTAATCATTGAAAGCGTAACATTTAAACTTTGTATAGAAATGAAGGCAAAAATACATCAGACGAAATCAAAACACATTTACTTCAAACATAAGAAAAAATATACAACGAGTCCTTATGTATCAAATATAAGTTTGAATTAAATACACCTTTTGTAATTTTGTTCATTACAAATTAGAAATTTGAATTGTGTTACTTTAATCCATTACTATAGAAAAATATTAGGAACCTTCCATGACAGAAAAATATGTTTGTAAATTCCAAAACGATATATTTATATAGTGACTTTTCATTAAATAATTAAATGACCAAAAACTACTGACATGAATGTTTTAAATTAGTTGAAATATATTTAAGAAAAATCGAATGTACATTGTTTAAACCTCACAGCTATTTTTGCGGTCATGCGCCATTGTTGTTAGCACAATGGTTTGTTTGGCACCACTGGTGCAATCTTCAAACACTTCCGGTCGATAGGAAGTCGATTTACACCAGTCACATGATGAAACAAAATGGCGGAAACCAGAGTCGAAAAGCAAAAATGCCAACGGATTGATACCGGAGTTGGCGAACATTAAACAAAATCCTGTAATTTTAAAAACATTCCAAAAGTGACTAAATTGTCCTGGCACGAAATGGAACCATATCAAAAAAATATGTCTTGGTAACCAGCAAAGTACAAACATAGCTACAAGAAACATGACAAGAATAGCTACTATCTTTCTATGTCTGGCCATTTTTTGTCCATAATCTTGACTAACGTTTGATTCTGAATTGAGAGGAATGGCTCCATTGCTGTTTATCGAATGTCCATTGCGGTCAGTTTTCAATAGTGTCAAAACAATCATGATATAGAATGGCGTCAGAATAAGTAGCGGTAGAACGAACAGGAACAGGAGCTTAACAATAGTTAGAGTCTGCGCATAGAGTTCGGACCAGGTAGGACGATACAGAAAGCAGAACTCCAGTGATCCAGGCTCCCCTATGACAATGTTAGCTGACACCAAGTCTGGTATGGCCAATATCAAAGCAAATATCCAAATCAAAATAATGACTATCAGAGTCTTTTTATTTCTCCCCGATGGCTCAGCTACTGACAATATAAGGTAACGTTCAATACTTAGTGCCGTTATTGAAAATATAGTGACACCTGTACAAAGAGTTTGTACAAATTCACTTAGTTTACATATTGTCTCTCCAAAAGGCCATTCAACAGTAGTGTAAATTGTTGAAATAAAGGGCAGAGCTACTGTGATCATGACGATGTCCCCTGCCGCCAAATTTACCACGTAGCAATTGTGAGGCGTATTCAAACGCCTTTTGCGTAGGACATAGTATAAAAGAAATAAATTACCTATGATGCCGATGACGAAAACAACGCCAAAACACAGTGGAACGATCACAGCTTCCGGTCCGGAATGAGCCTCCTGGGTCCCGTTCATCACAGTAACCATTCTTGAATACCGCTTTGTGCAATTTTCCAAATCATCCAGAGTTTTATTGCAGAACGTCTCCAGCTTTTCTTCCATTTTCTCACAATTAGAATAACAAAGTCTTCTGGTGTTGCTTACTTCTCTGGAAATGTTCACCAATTATAAAACAGATTGGTTTAAAAAGTTCAGTTTTTTTTTCCAAAACAGGATTTTTTTCTTCAGTACATGTCGTACTTAGTTCAATAGTTTATAGTCCAGAACAATTTCTGCACGAGAAAAAAACCTCCCTCTGATTGTCCTTCAATCAATGCTATATTATGCTAGACGTTTTACCTCCTCAAATATTGCATTTATGGTATCCGATAAATGTGGACACTTGTTCGTGCGTGCATCGTCCACATACAAACAGGTTACCCCGCCAGTATACGTAAACTGTATATATACGCATGCTAAATCTACTGCGTGCCACTATAACACAGTATACGGTAAAGCAGAAGTTTTGATTAAAGCCCTGTCGAGTTTCTTGGACTATATATTAAAGAAATGCTATAGACTTACTAGCAAGCGATATATATTAACGCTCAATTCGTAGCATGTAGATAGTGTGTTGTTTAGCTTTAACATGCCACAGAGAGAGAGCCGGTACGTGCTGATCCCAGATCAACCGTTTTGCCCGAGGATACCCTTGTCTCTTTACCATCGCCATTTGTAATCGATAGCACCGGTATTATCAATTAGGCTGTTCATACGTCAAAATAATGCCAACAGTTATCAATTTCTCCTATTGAAACTAGCGCCGGGCACTGAGTGTAGTTTAACTTAATTTTGTCCCGGTCTATCACGATTGTTCAATTACACAAAATATTTAAAGGGCCCTGTTTCTCAGCAGCATTAGAGACCAGTGTATTCAGCTCGAGTGTTCGATAATATAAAAAATGCAATGTTTAAAGGAACCAATTTTCTGTATTGTATGTAAACATGATTCTTATCATAAATATTTATTCTAACGTTTTCAATTACTCATTTTCAACACCTTAATCTAGCTTCTCACTCTTAATAACGATTGATTGATTAGTGTTTTGTGCACTGTGACAAAGCGACTTGCTCTTGTTATGAACTGTTTGTACATGAAGTAGCCCATCTCAGTTAATTATTATCGTCGGTCCCTTATTCATTATTTGCCTCTTTTTTTTTAAGTTGCGGATATGAGAGTCCAAGAAATGCAATATAATAATTATATTATGATATGTTTTGTATTTAGCCTTACTTTGCATCATCTTTGTAATATATTATATATATAAAAAAATAAGATAGTAAAATCAAACTTTTTATAATTTTACAGAAGTCACAACGTCTCTTTTCGACATCAATGCATATGTAAATTCAACTCGATTTTTATTGTCAATTCAAGGAAGTCAGCAGTTCAAAATTAAATTATTTCTTGTACAAACTAAAATATTATCAAACGTGACTTTCGTTTATCAATACCTGTATCAAATTCAAATATAAAATCGAGTTTGTTAAGCTTTCAAACTTATTTCACTGGCATGTAATTATAGAACAAGTAGGTACTTATATACAATGTTCATGTCAAAGTCGGCTGTACTAAATCTGTTCCTTTAAAACAGGCTACAAATTTAAGACATAAAACAATTGCTTCATGTGATATATGGATCTGTCCTTATCGACGTATTTACAAAATGAACATGTCTTACTTCCAATCGCACCCCCAGGACCAGTTTGATCACGGAATGTTGCAACTCTTTTTTAGGGCACATCTCCAAGGCAGCATCAATTATCTTTGAATGACTTTCACAGTTAAAACAAAGTGCAAATAAATATAATTTAGTGTATTTCCGAAGCTGTTTAAAAAATATCAGTAGAAGGCTAACGTGTAAACAAAGTCGTTATCCGAACTCAGAATTGATGAAATAAGTGCAACATAAAACAAAAATACACGGAAACCACAGACAAAATTGAAGGAAAATATGGCAAAGTGTTTCGAAAGGATAAGCGTTTTCTACTTCGTTGACGATACCCAAAACGCAATATATGTCGAACTCATGTAATTTCGCCCTCTTTTTAAGGTGAACTTTTATTCACCTGACTTAAAACTGATCAGATATCAGATGGACGTACATGTATATTTTGACTGCAGCAGGGGTGAATTTAATATCGGTAGGAATTGATATAGATTCGTTAACAACATGGACTTAATGTAATTCATTTTGAAAATGTTGCGAGTCCTTCTCAAGCTGAGCATAAGCTTATATATATTCATTACATTTTTACCAGTAAAATATCGGATCCTATCAATTTGATAAAACTCGAGTCCTGATATCAGCCCTCGGGCCTTCGTCCCTCTGGCTGATATCAGGACTCTCGGGCTGATATGGGGTGTGATATCAAAATGGTCATATAATAATATCTAATTATTACATTTTTACCAATAAAATATCGGATCGTATCAATTTGATAAAACTGATATCTTTCACACTGTGACAAATATCAAAAGTCATACTTTCACAGTGTAAAAATATCACTTTTTGGTATTGACAAATCATAACGGTATCTTCTATTCGCTGGATTCAAAGGCAACGTTTTTTTTGTTCAGATTCAAATGAAGCGACGTTAGAATAAGTGGTCGTTACGGTAAATGTTTGGTACACACATTTAAGTATTTACATAAATATGCAATTAATAACATTTTTATAAGCAATCATACATGAAAATAACAGAAAACGTCGGAATTGCGTTGCCGTGAATCCTATTCTAAATGGCGTGCAGCCTTGTTGTCAAGCGTGACGTCATTAGAACATGGCGCTAATTACAATGTATTACGCTTCTGATTTCCGCATTTTTCTAATGCAATACAATTTTCATGTTATATTATTTAAAAATGTAATGAATAGAAAATTTAATGGTGTCTTTAGTAATATGTTATATATTTCACTCGTTTGGCTATTTTTTTTCCACTCTTGAAAAAAATCAAAATATTAGCCACACTCGTGGAATATATTTGTTTCTACTGAAGACACCATTAAATATCCTCTCTCTCTAAATATATATTTACTAAAATATCCTTATTGCAGCAGACTAAGCTTAAAGGCTATCGGAAGAAAAATGCTTTTGTAAAGGAAATACATGTCAAAATAAGGTACCTGCTAAAATACACTTCATACCGATAACTCCTCTCCAAACACTACTTATGTACATTGTACTAGGCGCATTATATTCATAGTTCTTATCTTATTGATTTGATATATCGTTGGAATAATGTCAAACGTATCATTGCCATACCGTCACTGCAGATTCATCTCGTTTAGTTACCTTTAGAGAGCATAACAGAGCAAACTAAAAAGACTAACGTCTGGCGGTTTCTGTGTCTCCATAAAAGTCAACTTTTTATGAAATCTGCAAAATACATGTATATATTTTACAAATCTGGTGATATTTAAATATAAGTAACAGTTCTATTTGATAAAAGAATCTAGACTGCCTTTGAGGGATTCCTTACATCAAATTGTACTTAATAGAAAGTTCGTTTGTCTGTACCTTTGTATTTGAAACGCGTTTAACGGGAGAATAAAACGTACTATCACGAGTAACGGTAATGAACCTAACAGGAACTTTATGTCGTTATCGAAAGCAATATGGAAGTTAATGTCAATATCATCAGTAATTCAGACTTATCACTTATGCCACAAATAATTATAACTATTTATTGTAATTACGCAGACAATCTCCGAAAGCTGTTGATTTTTATCTACAGTTTATGCCTGGCTAACAATGAAAAAGGTTGGGCAATGATATCTGTACCATCAGCAGGCGACGTATTCCGGGGAATGGTCAGGCCTAAAGCGTCCACTCGTACGGAATTGCTATATTGTCTTTAGTTCATAATGGCTACGACACACCCTGGCTATTCCCTGTAGCAACAGCGCCCGAACCTATATCCTTTTCAATTCTCTGTAAATGGAAAAAATAGTATGTGTCCCTATGGACAAATAGATGTTATTAAGAAAATGCATTACTATAAGCTGTAGATGAGTTCGATCGAAACTTGCTAGCATCACTAAGAGTATGTTTGCTATTCCGGACCATATACATATGACCAATTAGACAGTATCACTATTATTCACTCGATATCAAAAAACATTAAATTTGATTGCCGGAATATTTCGTCATACAATATCCATTCAGTATCATCGGTAACATTCATACGTCTGTAGTCGAATGGTAAATTAGGTGCAGTACATATGTCCAACTATAAGTGTTTCAATATTTCCGAACATTTAGGATGAATGAAATAAAGGATTCTTTCGGTTTTCTTTTGGTTGGTGAGTGTGTTGGTTGTGTGCCTGTAAAGGCTTTGATTAGGTTCATTTATTGCTATGGAAACAATGCATGAATATACAAAAAAAGGTTTTACATACATGCCAAAAGATTAAAACAATCAAAGTGCTGTCAATGCCTTGTCAGGACAACCGTGAAATTCAAGTACAATGCCTTTGTTGCCTTTTATAACTGTTTACGTATCACTTTATAATATTACATTTTGCTCTTATCATTTTGGAGATTTTTCTAATCCAAAACCTATTACAGATTACCTTAAAAGAACAGCTTAAATGTGGTCAGCGAAGTCACAGAAGACTACTTTATTCACGAAGTTATTAATTTTATACATTCTACATTAGCATTAGATATATGTAATTAACCACTAAGGTCAATGTCAAACCAAGCTGACGAGTTGTGGTGTGTACGGGTGATTCGACACTATACAGATATCCCCTGAGCACTGGACGGTGATACTAATCCCAGGATATCGTTATAGATATTGATAAATTGGCACTCGGATGAAGTCCACACATACATGATCTATTTAATATTCTTCTTTCTAATGTAGCGTTGCACATGTTTTGTTCGTCATGTATGTTTAAAATCGATGAGGAGGAAAACCCCCATAAATTAATGACTTTTCAATTTATGTTTACACCCATCGCTAATATATATATAGTTTCTTTTTCACAAGAAGTAAACACTTTGATTGATTTCTAAGCAATCTGATGTTATATTGTGTGTAATTGTCCACTCCC